CTCTTTTTCCAGATTACTTTCCCTACTGAAAAGGAACTGCAATGGAAAGTGCAGTATCAGTCATTTTCCTTGTATCATTTTCCATACTGCTGTGTGAAAGTTATCACCATGGAGTGGAGACAGCTACTGTTGTGCATACATCGGAGAGAGCTTCTCCAGAAAAGACAGTGGGTGTTAATGCTGACTTGGCAGGACTAATACAGAAATTGCACCTTCAAGAACTTTTTAATCGTTATGGAGAAAACAACTCTCTGTCAATTGATGGCTTTAGAAAACTGCTCCAGAATATAGGTATAGATAAAATGAAAAGGATTAAAAGAAGCTATGACCACGATCATGATCATGACCACAATCATGATCATGACCACAATCATGATCATCATGACCACGACCATGATCATCACTCTCATCATAACCATGTTTCAGTAAATAAAAATTCTGAGAAGAGTGCCTGTCCAAACCATGAATCCGATGCTGGCAAAGACCACAGGAACAGTCATGCAAAGGAGCCCCACAAAGCCGAGAGTGTTGAACGCCAGCAGAACTTTGTGCGCAGCAAGAGCACAGTTCATGAGATCACAGCATCTGTCATCACCTCTTCCACAGGGAGCCACGCCGAGCTGCAGAAYGTGCAGCCTGGAGAAGTCAAGACAGTTGTCCGTGCAGGGCTGGCTGGCCCCGGTGCYGTTAATGTCTCAGGGGGCCGCAATGCCACCTGGCTCGCTGTCAGCAAGGCAAACGAATCTCGTGCTGCTCCAAAGGAATTGGAAAGAGGGAGTTACCTCTATTCTAAACTGAAAAAACAAAATACTCAAGAGGTGAGGCCAATTCTGTTGTATTCTCAGGAGTCCAGATCCAGTGGGAATGTTGTCATGGCTTGTKTTTCAGGTTGTTTACCTGGGTGCAAGTTTTGTGCCGTAACAATACCCATAGCCAAAGACAWGCAAATAACTTTCCTTGAAACGTAACTTTTTGAAGGAATAGGGTGTCATGTTCACAAGCTCAGAGGAGAATTAAATATAAATGTACACTTGGTTTAATACATTTATGATTTATGTATTTAAATGTTACTAAATATTAAAATGTTGCTGAAACTGACAGACATTTACAATTTTAAACTTGTAGTTCTGCCTTATATCAGGAATATGTCTTGTTTTCCTATTAATGGGGTGAAAGTTAWAAAATCTAGTTAAGGTACTGGGATTCTTATCAAAGCTGTCTCACATTGTGATAGTGTAGAGCCATCCATCCTCATCTTAYGATTGTATGTAGAAAACAACTCTGAAAAAAGATTGTGGAAAARTGGCACATGTTACTTTAAGATAGGAAAAGTTAGCACTGATAAAGAGTATAGTTGTGTTGTAGACGTTTTTCTTAAGCAGTCAGATCCTTTTGCATTAAAGGCTTTAAAAAGCAAGTGGGGTCTTAGTGTTTGCAGCCATGTCGGGTGATTTTGAGTGGATGTTGGGTGGCACGTGATGGTAGGTGCTGAGTTCACAAGTTCTTGCTGTGTTCTGCACTGTTGAAGCAAGAAGTACTGCTGTTCTTTAAACCCACTGAGACTGTGYGTAGATGGTACAGTGGGAGCTGTTTACTGGCAGAAGTGTATGTACAGCATGCTCTGTACAAGACTTTCCGCAGTAGTCACTGCTACAAAAAGGTGCTTGACCTTATTAGTGCTTCMTTTGGTGGCCTTTAAAACTGACTGAAGAGTGTTAGGTTTTTTCTATATATACATCAAAGCATCTGACCCATTTGTGCTGACAATGAGTAATAATTACCCATCATCTACCAGGACTCAAAAACAAGCTTTCTGGGACATGATTGGGGTGGAAGTACATTTTTTATTGAATGAGTTTGTTACCAGTTTTTGAGTTGCATTGTACAGATGTTTTCATATGGTGCCACTGCATTTCGATTAAGATGGGATGTGCAGTCCTTTTAAGATCTATTCTGGTATTTTTGGTTCTATTTAATTATTAATATATGCCTTTTTCCACAGTGCTCCAATGCATCCAGACTAATGCAGTCACATGGAATAGGCACTCAGGTATTGTTGACTGCTACAGAATTTAGTTATCTCTGTCCAGCTCTTATTAATCAGATTGATGGCAAATACTGCATAGTCCATGCGACTAGTAAAAGAGCTGAAACTCCTCCAAAAGGTTACTCTCTGGAAATAGGTAAGTTGACTTTTTTTTTTTTTTAAATCAAAGCATTAATGTTCGTTATAAAGCCAATAAACCTGTTTCATAGTTGTAAGAAGTGTGATTTTCTTTTGGCACTTCACCAAGACTAGAGAGTTATCTTTATGTCAWACCTTTTGTTAACATCTGATTAATTGAATGATCAGCTTTGTTTGAGAACAGAAATGTTCAGCAAACAAAATCATGTACAGCTGATATTTATTGTCGTTCCTTTTTTTTTTTTTTTACCAGCTTGGATTGGTGGCTTTATATCCATCTCTGTCATCAGCTTTCTTTCCTTGTTGGGTGTTATATTGTTACCACTGATGAATCGAGTATTTTTCAAATTTCTTCTGAGTTTTCTTGTTGCATTGGCTGTGGGGACCATGAGTGGAGATGCCTTCTTACACCTYCTTCCACATGTAAGTAATAATTACTGGTTAATTTGTTATCTCAAAGCAGAGAACTTGACAGCTGTRTATATTACTGATAAATTCAATCCCTGTTAGTTAATACCCTTTGGGTGAGTCATTTCTCAACCCTGTTATTCAGGTTGTTTGATGGAAAGGTTTTCCATTTGGAACATCTCTAGTATTCRTTTCACAGTCCTTAAAAGTGCAAGAACTTCATAGCATCATCCCTCTCTGTATTTCCTGTTCTTAGTCATATATGCCAAGTCGCTTTTTGTTCCTTGCATGCTACAATTTTGCATAAATTTTCTTAGTTTTCATTGCAGTGCTGCCCATTTATTTTCATTTTCCAGTTTAATGGACTCTACAAGTAGTGCAGATTACTCACTGAACACTTTAAATTTGGAATGGATAGTCAACTGTTTTTTGTTACATTGATGGCTTACCCATTGTGATGATTTTCTTTTTACCAGAATCCAGCGTTTCTGTAGTCCTGGGGAAAATATACTTGATAGAGTGTGGAATTGCTGTTACGTAATGGAAATGCTGTTGTGTTATGAAATGGGAATAGGATTGCTAAATTTCTACCTTTCTTGAAGTTCTTACACTCATTCTTCCCCTCTCCCTCCCAAAAATAACTTGTTMCAGCTTTCAAATGAGGTGCATAAAAGTGGCTGTGGATTCTGTGGTGGTTTCCCAGTCCTGCCTGTAATTCATCAGGYGGTTCTTTTTCCTTTCAGTTAATTTTGCATTTGCTGTGTGAGGTTATGTAAATAAAAACATRTGGGAATGAGATGTGCAAAAAGACTTTTTGTTTCTGAACAGTGTCCAGTAAGAAGGGAAAAAATGTCAGACTCTCTTTAAAGAAGGAAATTACGGCTAAYTTCCTTGTAGAAAAAGTTTTTTGATGTCTGCAAGTTTTCTCAGATGGCAAACTTACTGGTGTGYTGGCTGTGACCACTGCTTAAAATGTGGGTTCCTTGATGGTTGTCAGGATTTTGTGTGAGGGCAGCTGTACACCTTGGATTAAGCAGAGGCCATGCAGCTTCAGTGTGTGCATCAGTGCCAGGCCTATTCTCACTCCTTGCAGTGTTTCTTTCTATCAACAAATTTCCAATCAATTGAGTTCTTTGTAATTGTTTGAGTCTGTAAGCAGAGCATTTGCCCTGTGAAAATTGTCAAGTTTGGACTCTGGACGTGAGAAAAATTATGTGAAGATTATTTTCTATGTTTCTTATGTTACAGTTCTTTTGAATATAATGACTTTCCCCGTTTGGTTCTCTGCTTAGTCTCATGGAAACCATCAGCATCACCACGAAAAGCCTCTGCTTGATCTGAAAGGCTCTATGTACAAACATCTTATTCTTCATCGTACAGATGAGAATGCTTACCTGGATTCTACGTGGAAAGGACTTACAGCACTTGGRGGCTTGTACGTGATGTTTCTAGTGGAGCATATGATCACTTTAATAAAGCAATTTAAAGACAAGAAGAAAAAGGTAGAAAGACTTYTACTTTGAACTATATTGTATTACATGCTCGTTTCTGAAAACACTTATTAAAAAACCTATCATATGTCTTTTGATTTAATAGCAATGGCTTACTGGATTAGTGTTAGAATTTCATTTATATTGGGAACACGTACACTTCTAAAGTATGTGATAACCTTTTTGTGTGGTCCTTTTRTTAAGGGCTGTTAACTATTTCCATGACCAGACACTATAGTACAGGCTTTGGCATCACAGTGAATCGTTTCATAAGCAAATGTCCAGTTGCATCTCGTTTTAACAGAGTGATTTAAGAACTCACTTTATTACTGACTTCCTTTTGACATCTTAAAAGAATTATCGCTATCTGAACTGGTTTATTATTATTTTAATTCTTTTTCTGGATGCAATAAGATTGCCTTGTACAGTTATTGTACTGCACAGACTGGTAAGGGTTGGCAGTAAATAAGCATCCAAGTATGCTGTAGAAAGTGACTTCATGGAATAGTGTTCAATGTGGAAATGCAGTCTATTAAGCCACCTTGCTGCTTTCCTTTCTCTCCCSCACAAAGAGCAATGCAGCTCTCAGGTTGTTATGCTGGTTTTATGTGTAAGGTAAATAACAGAATTTTGGCAGGTCAGAAGTGCTGGTAACTTGCCAGCTACTACTGGTGACAATTTTTGAAAGACCAGTGTAACCAGGAATAAAGAATGATATCAAAGTTGACTCAGTAAGGAAAATTAATCAGGAGTTGGTGATAACAATAGAGTCATAGAATGGTTTGAATTGGAAGATATATTAAAGGTCAGCTGATTCCAACCAATCCTAGGCTTTACTTGAAGAAASTTAGTAAATACTAATTATTAAAATAGCTAATTGCTAGGCTACCTCAAAGACTGATAATCTGTTTAGTTTAAATTAGTCATTAAGGCAGTAGTCACGGAACAGATGCCATGTAAGCTCTTTGATGGTGGGAAGTTGTATTGGTGTGGTTTATACTGAAGCTAAATTGACTGTGAGCTTCCCCTGTCTAGTTAAATTTTTTTGTCAGAAAAGAACATGARGAGTTTCAAGCAAAGCAAGAATTTTGTCTCTTCATAGTCACAAGGAATGGATTTCCTGTTAGACTAATTATGCCCTCTGAGATACTGAGTCACTGAGCATAAAYTGTTGTGATACAGACATAAGTGAGCAAGGAGTAGAGATTTTACTTGTTTTTCCTTCTCTACATTATAAAAAAAACCCCGATATATTGACATTATGATAGAAAATAATTAGCAGAGTAACTTACTCAGCATTTGGTGTATTTTACTTCTCAGATGAAAACGCTCTGCTTATTTCTTGTGAAAAATGTAGGGCATTTATGTGTGTAGGTTTGTTTGTGGTGATTTTTTTTTTGTTTTTTCTTTTCTCCCCTCTAATGGAGCCTGAGAAACCATTATCACCTGACTTTACTTAGCTCAGTTCCTAATATTCCTCTTATCCACTTTCTATATGGCTTGAGTGTTGTCCCCTTTCTGTGCAGCCTGCATAAATGTTATGAATATAATGTTGCTCATACATATTCTGAAAAATAAGTAAAATATTCATAACTGCAGTATTTTCTTTTGGAATAAGAAAAAAAGTGAAGATGATGGAGAAAGTAAGAAGTTTTCAGCAAATGAAGAAAAGTTGGATACGGATGATCGTAAGTCTTATTAATATCACACAGTTGTTATTTTGTGGCAGTACTGTTTAAAAAACACCTGATTGATGGCAGCCCATAGATCTGCTGCTTACTGTAGGTTGGATCATTGYCTGTTTGAACTATTTTCAAAACAAAACCTGTCTGTGGGCTGATTTGTAGAGGACTTGCTCTATTTGCTGCTTTCCTTTGAAAGGGATCAGGAGATTAGAAGTAGTGAATTCACTGTTTTGGARCCTTAAGCCTTTTAATTCTGGATTTAGCAGCAGAAGTTGAAGTAATTCTGTGAACGGTGCAATACAGCTGTTCCTACTGATTTCTACACTTCTGTTTAGACTGCTAGATACTTTATATGCATGACTCATTATTTGGCTTTCTGGGTATCTTAAGTCTGGATTTTTTTGTTTGATTGATTATTTATTTATAAGGGTAATAATATAAAATTCTAGACAATACTTGAAGTAACATTCAGAGTGTGAATAATCATGYGTACCCAAGATCTTGCTTTAAGCCAAAACACAACTGAATAGGTGCTAAAAGAGATGCTCAGTTTTTCAGAGTTATTTTTCAACTAATGAAAGACTTGTCTGTAATGTAGAAAAAAATGCATTTATTCATTTAATTGCAGGGGAGAAATTTGTCAAGTTTCAGAAATTAGTTAAAATAACCAGCTGTGCTGTGCCAGCAATGTTATATGAGAGTATTTCATGGTCTGTGTTGGTGAMTTTATTGTTCAGTTTTTATTTTCTAGGTGTTAAACTAAAGTATCTGTATTTATTTTGAAACAGGAGTTTTGAAAATTGTAACWTAATCTTCTTCTGTATCTTTATTCTTCAGCCCTGAGATGAGTAAATGGCACATGCTTTTCAGATACTTGGTTTTTCTGAAGCAATCGGGCTAACAGGCTTCATGCTGTGAAACTGGGATTTGGAGCCTTTTGCTGTAGTGTTTAAATTGCAGTGGCTCTTAGATTAAATGTTTTTTTGCCTTTTAGAAAGCATTTGCAGCCATAATGTAAGGGCTGCTTCAGCAGTAGGGGATGGAAACAAAAAGTTTCCCTTATTTGAACTATTGGGAATTGTCTCTGAAATCTGAAAAGGTTATGGAAATGCTTCAAAAAATCTTCTGGTGCCACAAGTTGGATTATCAGTCTCAACTTTTTTACTGCTTAACATGTTCAAACTATTTATTGTATCTTTGCTTCCTAGGCGATTTTAAAAATGTATAACGTTATACTCTGGGTTTTTGTACCAGGGCCTGAGTGCTATCTAGGGACAGACTGTCAAGATCCATCAACCTTCATGTCTCAGCAGCCAACTGTACAAGAGGAAGAAGAAGTGATGATAGCTCATTCTCATCAAGAGGAGGTTGACGGTGAATACGTGTCCAGGATCTGTAGGAACAAATGCCATTCTCACTTGCACGATACTCTAGGACAGACAGATCGCCTCAGTCAYCATCACCACGATTACCATCATATTCTGCATCACCACCATCATCAGAACCATCATCCCCACAGTCACACTCAGCGCTACTCACGCAAAGAACTGAAGGAGGCAGGGATAGCAACTCTGGCATGGATGGTGATCATGGGAGATGGACTACACAATTTCAGTGATGGACTAGCAATTGGTAAGTGCTAACTTGGTCACTCTAGCTTTCTTGGATGTGAAGACAGTGAAGTCTTCTTGCTGCCACTTATGTCTATAAGAAATGTAACTAATTAGCAGAGGATCTTTGAAGCCTAAACTTTTATGTGATATTGTCATCTGAATATGAAAAATCTCCGGTTTAACAACCTGGAGGTCAGTGATAAATGAAACAGAAATTATGTGCTTAGAGCTGTGTTTCTTTAGGAAATCTATAAGTTTCGATTAATTTTCTACTTTAACTCCTAAAAGCTCATGTTTTTCAAAACTAAAGCTAGCTTTATAAAAAACATTTAAGACTTAACTTTGTATTTCAGGGCCTGCAAATGCTCAGCAATTTTTTAAGTTTTAATTACTTTTTACAACAAGCTTGTATTTTTTGTCACATACAAAGTAACTATGTTTTTTTCACTTCAGTCAGGCYACTGGTGATATCATAGGCTTCTTTACATCATTTTCATCTTTGCTTGTTATGCAGTAAGGTCAGGTTCAATACTTGGCATATCTGCTTGCCTGTACTGGGCCTTGGTTACACATCATGTGTAAGTTCCTCCAGAGCATTGGTGGGTAAGGAAATGGAGCCCTGATTTCAATCTGTTTTAGCCTGAAAATTTTATTTTCTGAAACAGTGGGCATGCTATACTCAAAAYCTTGTTCCTAAAGTTGACCATAATAGTAATTAAAAACAAATTTGAACAGGTATATTTATTAAAAAGTAAACAAAACATTTATCTTTTTGTTCCTGTTTAGTTTATGCCCCTATTTTTCCCTTAATGTGTTATCGTTGCTCAGTGTTTTTTGATAATGCTTCAGTGAAAATATTTCATATCACAAAAATAGTAGATTGAATATTTTGTTTTGGACTTCTGCCTGGGCGGTCAGGTTTGGGAACTCTTGTATTTTTTCTAGAAGGAGGGGTAGATTAACCTTTTAAATTCAAAATACCTGTAAAGTAAGTTACAGAAAGTGAAGTCAAATCAATAATYTTCAGTACTTAAGCTGATCTTTCTTGATCTTGACTATTGTATTTAAGACTAATCTTTACAAGTATTGGATTCATTTCCAGGTTGTTTAGCATACTGGAGGTAGTTCAGCAGTATCTGTCTTTCTGTGAATTTTATTGTAGGAAAAAATGATTCTTGTTGGAAGAGGAAACSCAATAATAACTATTTTCTCACAGCAATATTTGCAGTTGTTCAGATTCAGTCAATTCAGAGTATAATGTGAAAAAAGACTTTCTGATYTAATCTCATTTTTGATGAAAGTTGAAGCATGAAATGTAAATTTTTGAGCAGATCAGTAGTGAAAATGTGGTAGAAGGAAGATTTGCATACAAATGGCACACAGAATCAATTACCTCTTGGCATTAGGGAGATTTGGGAAGGAGCTATGACTTTATAGTTATGAAGGGAAAAGTATGAGAAAGGTTAATAAAGGCTTATTGAACAAGTGAGAGCGATAGCTTTCAGAAGTCCTGCTGTGTAGCTTTTTCAGGCTAATGGAAATACGGTTTCTTTGAGTTCTCTATGTGCTTAAAAGTATTATGGGAAAACATCAATTTGATGGTGTTGTGAAAATGCAAATGCTACTTGTGTAGTAGTTCATCTGTATTTTGAAGATGTGAATGCTTCTGTAAAGCTAGCTTTAGCCAGCATAACCCTTCATTGAAGTTCATTCATTTGGTGTGATTTGTTATTCATAAGTTCCATCAGTTACTTCTTTTCTCAAATCTGTTGTGCTAATTATGGAGGAACAAGATTTAAAAGTGCTTATTTTTTTATTAAAGCRTGGAACAGTTGCATCTGACTCATTTGTGCAAAAGGATCATCTGTGATTTGAACTTTTATGTTTAATTACAACTAAATAAGTAAAATGCAGAACACTATTTTTACACTAGTCTTGCATACTTTTCCTTAGCTTTTGAGAGAAGTGATGTCTTAAAAAGTGTATTTTAAGATACTAGTGATGCTATGAAATCAATGTCTTGAGAGGGGATAATGCCAGATATGTTAATTTCATCTTCAGTTTGTTAGTATTTCAGGATTTCGTTTTAGCCGGGACAAAATAAAAATAGATATTCTTGCTATTTAAGCTTGTACTTTGATTGCTTCTTACTTTTTCTCTTTGAATTTCACAAGAATTAAGTTTACCATGGTCTTGTTTAAAGCTGTAGTGCTTGGTGGACCCTCAGSCCTTACTTTCTCCCCTCTTTCTCCCACATTTGCTGTTGGTGCTGTCTGTTTTATCCAGATCATTAGTGAAGATACTCAAGAAAATGGGTTGCAGTTTTTGTCCTGGTGATCCCTACTTCTTACTCACCAGCCACCAAGCCCTGTTAGCCCAGCAGTCCAGTCAGTGTGCAAGCCTATATTCCCTCTTTTCCCAGATGACACTGCTGTAGGAGATAGTGTCAGAAATCCCAGTAGAGTTCATCCTACCATAGTTCTGTTATATTTACCATCTCTGTGGTCCGTTATCTCCTCAAGCTGGATGCAGCATTTGGAGAGGGGTTTTAAGAGATTATTCAGTATGATCTTTTCAGGAACTGAGATGGCACTGACCATTTCTGAGTCCTGTTCTTTGCCTTTCTTAAAGAGGGAAATGATCTTATCCTTTTCCCAGAATTCCACTGAGGCCTTCTATAGCCATGTTTTCCACACATGATAGACCAGCAGCCTTTTAGTCACACTAGTCAACTTTGTCAATACCCATAGGTGAATCTCATTCTGGGATGCACCTGAGCATTTCCAGTTTTTTTCTGAACAGTTGCTTCTGTGGTTTGTTGGCTCGCTTTTGCTGGAATGGAGCTGGCAACTGGTTTTGTTGACAGAGACATGATGAAAGCTATGCTGGTGCTTTGCCTCTTGTTATGTCTACTGCTTATTTTCCTTCCTCATCTTTCAACAGACCCAAATTTTTTCTGAACTCTGTTTCTCAGCTAACATTTTTGTAGAAKTGTTTCTTCTTTTCCTTGGTGTCGTGTTAGTTTTAGCTCTAGCTGGGCTTTGGTCTTCCTTCCTTTTGTTCCACTGCTTTTAACTTCCTTGTTGCCAGTCTTTGTTCGTATTTCTTGTGTGCTTCCTTTTTGAATCTTAATTTATTAGGACACACTGCTCAGCTGGGCATCTCTTCTGTGAGTGTTCCCACACAAACAGGCTTGTTCATTTGTGCATCTCTGTGCTGTACCAACTGGCCACCTTTTCTAGGCACATTTTCCYTTTTGACTGATTCCCAGGGTATGCTACACTGCAATTCCTTAATAAATCAAAGTCTGCTTTGTTAAAGCCTAGAGTCCTAATTTTGGATCTTCTAGCCTCCTCCTGTGTCCTGAACTCAGTCACCTCATGCCCATAGATGTTATTCTTTTGCTATATTTGCCATCAGTTTTTCCTTGTTTTGAGCAGCAGATCAATTACAATGCTAATCCTGGCTGGCTTTTCTGTCATTTATAGTGAGAAAACCATTACCAATACAATTAAGGAACATCCTGGTTTGTGTGCCCAGTTACCTCCACAGCTGAAAGCTCTTGTGTRAATGGTGATATCCTGTGTTTGTAGGTAGGCTTATCCCCATCCCCTTTTCATGGTTAGATGATTTGTAACCTTATTGCTGGTGTTACTCTGATCCAGACCCAGAGACTGAACAGGCACATGGAACTGCTGCTTGTACATACTTTGATACAGGAGCTCTCTGTGGTCAAGGAACCCCTTTATGTAGGTAGGCAAAAAAATCCCCAAAGTCAATTGTATTCTCTCTAGGCAGTTGGTATCTATCCATGACAGTGCAAATACACTTCGGTGGTGTCTCCCCAGCATCATGCAGGCAGGCTCTGGGCAAACCCATGGACTTCCCTGTGCAATAGGTCAGCAGGTCTGTCTCTGTCCTGCATGGGAGGGAATCCCCTAGCAGTAAAAAAAAAAAAAAAAAAAAAAAATCTTTCCTTTCTTTCTGTACTGCTGGCCAAGGCAGGAGTCATTTATCCTCTCCCTGGTGCGAGGGTGATGACCATGTTCTGCAGCTGCAAGTGGGGACACAAGGTTCTTCCTGTTGCCAGACTTCACTGTTTTCAGATGTTACCCATCTGGGAGTTCATGTTTCCTGTTCCAGTGCTGCTTTGGTCTTGCCTTCCTCTTTAATCTGATGGGCTTGGACTCTTGCCCCTGTATAACCTCTTCTGAAGATCCTCTCAATTCTCTTTGTTATCACTCATCCAAAGATGCCTGCTCACCATTTCCTGCATCCTCTTTCCTGGATGCCTCAGCACACAACCCAGAGGTAAAGTTGCTGCTGCTGTCACTTCAGGGAAGAGCATCAGTCATTTCTTGCACATTAAGACCTGGATAACCATGTCTCCCTCAAGAGTTAGGTCAGCATCTGGAGTTTCCCCAGTGAAAAGAAGGGATTGTCTCCAGTGGAGTCATTGGCACTGTAGTGCTTCCTCTGGGAGAYGAACTCCTGGGTCCTTTGTGTGGCAGCCACTGTGACATGGCCTTGTGCCTCTGACTGTGATTGGCAGCCCCTTGTTTGCTGGCAGGCCCCTGSTAGCAGCTGAAGAGGAAGCTGCATGTGGCTCTGCAGCCTTGGAGAGGCTCTCCATGCACCTGGGGATCTGACCTGCTGTGTGCGAGCCGTGGGTCAGCTCTGCAGCCCTGCAGTGTGCTGTGTCCTCCTCAGCTGCTGCCAAACAAGAAAAGTGATAAAGCAACAGGAGGAGCAAAGAAGACGAGAAAGATGAGGACTGTTGGACTAGTTTAAGGGGTTTTGTGGTTTTGGTTTATTTTTTTTCCTCCACTTAAAGTGTGAGAGTTACTTAAAAGCAAGCTGCCTAGAGTTCACTATTGATTTCATARCCTCTCTTACTGTTGATTTTACTTGCCTTTTTAGAAGTGTCTGACTTGCAGATGTAGTTGAACTGCTTTCTTCCATTTGTTTTCTGACAGTTTATCCATTTTTTGCATTTTGTGGGAAGTGTTATGTTGTAATGTATTTGGCTTGGTTCAGAAATAAGATAGTGGTTTACTTTAATAGAAAGATTCTGAAGAATTTTGAAATGTAAGAATTATAAACAATTGTTTAGTTAAAGTTTAAATACTTTCACAGAGAAAAAAAAAGAGTGAAATATATGTCCTAATACAACACAAGCATGTGCAACAATGCTTCTGCATTTGATGCCTGAATATGTAGTAATGTTCTGTTTGCTTTTTTTTCCCCATCTCTTTATAGGAGCAGCGTTTACTGAAGGGTTATCTAGTGGTTTAAGCACTTCTGTGGCCGTATTTTGCCATGAATTACCTCATGAGCTAGGTAAGACCCCAGCATTTCCATGGGTTTGTACTTACAGGTGCATGTGAAAGAATAAAATTTGATCAGAAAACATCATCTGTGTYAGGTTGTCTATTGAAGGATACTTGTAATTGACTTAGACTGTTTAACCATATAATTGAATTAATTGTTTAAAAATCTAAATATTTCATCTACTTTGTTTAAAACTGTCTCTTGCAGTTACAGCTTTTTCTGTCTAGTTTAGTTGTAGTTTTTAATTCTCCTTGTATATAACATAAGTTGTGAATTGCAGGAGAAKGTGTGACAGAATTTGCTTTTCTCACATCTCTCCTTAATTTTATTCTTGTGTTTATGCTGCTAAAAGGAAGGTCACGATTAGTCAAAGTACAATCTGCATAACATTTGCTGCTTTTTCATTAATTCTTGCAAAGAACTGCTRTAGCTCTAAATTAAACTTGAAACTACTTAGAAATCTTTCTAGAAACAGTTTGTCTTTCAAGCTCAAGTGATTCAAATTTGAGCGCAGTCCCACGAGAGATTATTGTCGTGTCTTACAATATGAATTCAGTGTTGGGCTCTTTTTGAAGGGCAGCTGGTGAGAACAGGATGGATGTGCTTAGTTGAACTCAAGATGAAGCTGATCTTTCCAGTTGTCAAATCATTTTGGATGYGCAACTGGTGTTTATTTCTTAGCTGTCATGGTCACAGTCATACTTGGTGTATAGGATGAAGAAGGAACAGTTTGCTTGCACTTTTTTTAAGGTTTAATTCCCCAGAGGGTGGAATACTCAGTTTCATTTAATGGAGCTTGTAAACCAGTATGTGTAAACATTGAACTTTCTCTGTATAAACAGTCTGATATATTTGTACAGTAATGTTATACAGAAATATATTATTATGGAGAAAACATACCTGATTTTATGGGTTGGGAGGAATTGAGTCTTGTGCATAGTAATCATGGGACTTGCATTAATTACATGTTGTACACCAAATTATGTTAGTTCAGATAGAAGAAGCAAATTCATATTATGAATCTGGTCATTTTAGATTCAGCTGTTCTATTGGTTTGGGAAATAAGAAAAAYCTTTTAAAATTTAAATCATATCTCTTTAACCAGAACAGAAAAATTTATACGAAATAGCTTCTTTAACAAAGGRCATGAAGTGGCCTAGGAATATTGAAACAAATGTGACTAGATGAAATTAGCTGGGATTAAAATTGTATCATTAATGCTAAAAAATKTAATACACTAGTTCATCTTAATTGCAGTAGCTTGTAGGAAAAGTTGTTTTAACAAATTACTAAACTCAGCGTTGAAGATCACTTTTGCTTACTTTAACTAGAGAGAACTTATTTTCAAATAATAAGCTTATATTACTCTGGCTTAGGAAAAAAGAAGTGTTCTGAATTACAGAAAATCTGTTTCTGGCTGRTAGTCTATCATTCCTTCAAGTAAAAATAAGAAATTAAAGATCATTTACAGAAATAAAGAAATTATTTCAAATTTATAAAACAGACTTAAAGTATAAAGAGCAGTTACAGTATAATAAACTGAATGTACAAGTGAGTGGGAATATTTTATTTTAGGAACATTCATGCATATCAGGTACTGTAGCATTTTACAGTAGTGGTTTAAATGCAAACTGCATGAGAATGTAAAGCTRTTAGAGAGCATCCAAAGGAGGGCAGTGARGATGGTGAAGGGCCTTGAGGGGAAKCCATTTGAGGACATTCTGAGGTCAYTTGGTGTGTTCAGCCTGGAGAAGAGGAGGCTGAGGGGAGACCTCRTTGCAGTTACAAGTTCCTCATGAGGGGAAGAGGAGGGGCAGGCACTGATCTCTTCTGTCCTGTGACCAGTGACAGGACCCAAGGGAATGCCTGAAGTTGTGTTAGGGGAGGTTTACRTTGGGTATCAGAAAAAGGTTCTTCACCCAGAGGATGGCCAGGTACTGGAACAGCTCCCTGGGAAGTGTYCACAGCACCAAGCCTGRCAGAGTTCAAGGAATGTATGGAAAATTACCTTGGGCACATGGTGTGACTCTTGTGCATGGTCCTRTGCAGGGTGAAGAGTTGGACTCGATGATCCTTGTGGCTYCCTTCTAAGTCAGGTTGTTTTGTTATTCAGCAAAAAGCTGCTTCTTTCAAAAATGCTGAGACTTTGAGGTTATAAACTTACAGTATTTGCTGCTGTGTTGTTGTTCATGTGTATGCTTTCATTTTCTGTACATCAGTGATTTCTGATTTTATGAAGGAAAAAGAATTAGGYAAACAACAGCATAAAAATACCTTTGTAATCCTGTAAGAGAACTGTAAGTAAGAAAACACTGCAATACTTATTGCAGAGAATGAAAACTTGGTCTTGGTTTTTTTTTTTCCCCTGTTGTAGGAGACTTTGCTGTACTTCTCAAAGCTGGTATGACTGTCAAGCAAGCTGTGCTTTATAACGCTCTKTCAGCCATGCTAGCTTATCTTGGAATGGCAACTGGAATCCTTATTGGTCATTATGCAGAGAATGTTTCAATGTGGATATTTGCACTTACTGCKGGCTTGTTCATGTATGTGGCTCTTGTGGATATGGTAAGTGACTAGACCTGTTTGAATTTTGTATAAYACAGCTTAAAAATTAATGCTTTAAGCAATTGTTTATTTTCAAGGCCTTTAACACTTCTGTGTTTGTTTAGGTACCTGAAATGCTCCACAATGATGCCACTGACCATGGATGTAGCCGGTGGGGATACTTCATGTTACAGAATGCTGGGATTCTCCTGGGCTTTGGGATAATGCTGCTTATCTCAGTATTTGAACATAAGATTGTATTCAGCATAAACCTGTAATCCTGGTTGCCRGGAAGACAGCTTGGTATTAAATTATAAGTGGTTGAGGTTTTTTTCTATTAATTTCCTTATTGGAAAGGTACATTTGATATAGACTAGATAGTTTTATTGGTGTGCTTTGTTGTTGTGTACTTCCTTATTGCCTGTTAGAAAGGAACACTGAAAAATTTGGGGTTTGTTGGGGGCTTTTTGTTTGTTTTTAATTGTGTGGGTTTTTTTTTATTTGGGATTTAGCATTGCTYATGGTACTGTGGAAAGTGGTACTTAGTAAAACATGGCAAAAGTGCCAAATCTATATTGTATTGTCTGTACTATTTGGGAGATTAGGGTGTTTTTTTTTACTAAATTTATTTACTGTATGTAATTATATGTAATGTCTTTTACTTCAGTGGTTTTGTTGRTTTTAAAAAGGTAAAACAACAGTGGCTTTTATTTTAGCACAATTAAAATCTGCGGATAAAAACCACGGTGAGCAAAGTAAAACCTGAACAAGACATGTAATGGGTAATATGCTCCTTGGTAGAAACTCATCTCTTCTGCATCCACCTGGTGTATATGGAAAGGTAGATGAGTCCAGTCCATCCTTTGTGATGGTGCTGGTTTTCTCAATAGGTTGTGGATTCCTGTGTCTTACTCTAGTTGGTTTCTACTCCAAACAAATAATTGTGAAATCGTGTACTAAGTGTTTACATCAAATGTTTTGCTTGTTTCATCCCTTCTCATATGAGTTGGTCTTCACCAGTTTCTAAAATCAGCAACAAAAGTCTGGCTCTTAAATAGCAAAAGCTTTAAGATATGTGAATTCCGTAAAAGAGAGTTTAAAAGCAGTTTTGTATCCCACTTACACTGCCTGAAGTGACGAAAGTGTATTAAAGCCTGTTTGATATCCAGGAGAGGAGTGCTACAGGCTGAGATAAACAGTCATTTCCTRCAATAGCTTCCTGAAGTAAAGTGTTGATTTACTTTGGGAAAATGAGCTGAGTGGGAGGGAGAGCTGCCTACTTCTTGTTCAGTGTGATTGCACACAAACCTGTGCTATATTCTTTGCAAGAACCAAAGCTGAGAAATCCAAAATAGGAAAATTWCTTTGGTAGCATACCTAGGGAAGTAGTGTGTTAAAGATAATGAGTGTGTAAGAGTGTGTAAGTTTGAGCCTACAGTCTTAAAATGTTTAACCACCCTGAATGGAACTGAAGGAAGAAGATTGAAAAAACCAATRGCAAAATWAATAAATTCTGCATTTGCAGGGAAAGTGAACATATAAAATTCATATTGTTTAATGATGAATAAATAACAGAATTATACTGTCWTACTACCTAGCTTTAAAAGTCCCAGAAATACAACCTGTTAGAACCTGTTTCTGATCTACTGCATCAAATCAGTAGCTGAATGAAAAGCTTGAACAACAGAGGAATGTTTGATAATACCATGTATGACAGGTTGAAACTGTTGGTCTGTCATACAGTGGAAGACAGGAACTATTCTATCACCTCAGAAATAGATGTTTTCAATTAATTGAGAGGTTTGAGGGTCTTCTAGCTAGGAGTTGAGAAATGGGTACCACAGGATTTTTTGCAGCAGTTTCTCTCCTTCAGCTTTTCTTCATGTTAGCAAGATTGAAATTTACTCTTCTGCTCACAGTGAAGAAATCCTGTTATGCACTTCCTTTGAAGGCACGGGTTGAGAAGGGTGTGCTTCCTTCAGCTCCCCTTATGCATCCCTGTGTCCTTTGTAGGGCTTGGACACAGTGTTACCTGTGGTGTGGGAAATGCAGTGTGCTTCAGCCCATGGGGCTTCCACCTTCTGCACTGCATTCTTGGGTGCTACAGAAGTCGGACATGTCTGTGGTTCTGGGGCATTTCAGACTTGGATGAGCTCAGTTTGTTTTGAGTTTTTCACTGCTGGTTTCTGTTAGCTTACAACTGTAATAGCTGCCAGTTCAGCTGGACCGCTCTTGTCTGCTTGCTGGATGTGACTCAGGAAGCAGGCATGTAGCCTAATGTTGATCAAGACATTTTAAGATCAATGATGGGAGATCTACAAATGTCAGTGTTTTCAGTGGGTTCTTCTTGGCTGGCTTTTGATGYACTCGACTGACATTTAACTATCCACATATCAAAACACATTGCTAATTTAACACTATGAAAAATGAACTGTCATTAGAGCAAGTGGGCAGAAATGTCTGTATCCTGTACACAAGCACATTCCACCCATTGAATTCTCTTTGATCATTGATGGAGAAATGCCCATCACAGGCAGCTGTCCAAACTAATAATTCAGAAGAATGTAGACTGAAACTTGCTGTAGTTTTGTATCAGCAAGATGACAAAAGGTTGTTTTTTTTTTTTGTTTGAGTTGGTTTGTATTGTTGTTTTTCTTTGTTAGATGTAGAATCTCTATCTGTTGCAATGTACTCATGTTGGAAATACTCATGGTTTGGCAAACTTGGTGGGGCAGAGCCTCTAAGTTGCCCTTTATTTTTATGCACATGYTTTTCTGCAGCAGTTTTTATTGTGCCTGGATACTCTGGCAAATAAATGAAGTGTCTGTTTTGTGTACCCATCTGTAGTTTAATTATTGTACAGACCCTAATTTTATATGCTATACAGCTGCCTTTAGTGYCTGTGCTAGATGCAGGTAAACAGAATAGGCAAACAATGCTGGAATCAGTTTGGGGGCARGGGTTGGTAACATGTTCTTCTAATCATTTTGTCCTGGTTTGTACACAAAGTTTCACTCTGCGCAGCAGGAATCAGAGCAAAGGTGTGGAGGTTCTCAAATTCTCACCTGCTGGACCTGTGGGGCTCGGGTGTTGGTACGGTTTCTCTGCATCCTTTGTGTCTAAATGCGAGGCCACGTGTGTTGTGGGAATGCAGCTCATTTATGTTTATATAAAAMGGGCTTAAATGGAATTTAAAGGCTGAAATGGAATTCACAGAGGCTCTCTGGCTGCCTTAACTGATACACMATTCAGTTAAAATCTCTCTACTCGTTCTGTTTTCCACAAGAAGGAAACAAAATGATRTTTTAACGAAAGTTGGGCGTTTTCTTTCAATTTAAAGTACCCTTTTGGTTTATAAATATGATCACTGTAGTTGTTACTGTATCGCTGCGGGCCAGAGAAAATAAACCACTGCACCAAACCCGCAGCGTTTGAGCGTTTTTCACAATGACGGAGATACGGCGAAAGATGATACAGCTWTCGTTTACCTTTTCGGGGAAAACAAGTAAAAGGAATATGTATTTCCTTAGGGTTTCCCGTGGCGGGGCGGGGAGAGGGCCGGGCCGGAGCCGCCCTCCCGCCGTCATCGCTGCGCGCCGCGGGCCGGGCCGGGCCGGGATGGCTGAGGGCGCCGTGGCGGTGCCGGGCGGCGCCGAGCGCTACTTCACCCGCTGGTACAAGCCAGGTACCGCCGGGACCGGGCCGGGCCGGGCCGGGCYGGGCTGTGCGGGGCCCTGACTCCTCTTTGCGCCTTTCTTGCAGACGTGAAGGGGCGGCCGTGCGAGGATTTCTGCGTGCTGCAGCACTCCAACAGGCGAGTGGCGCTCGGGGCCACCTCTGCCCCCGGGCTGCACGGGAGGGAGCGGCGGTGGCTGCGGCAGCCGGCACACCGGCACACGGACGGAGCTGGGCTGGGGCACGGCACAGGCGAGCCTGCCTCGTCCGGGAAGGTGGGAGGATGGGAGAGTGACAGATGCGCCTCCCCAKCCATTAATTACTGCTCCAGTGAGAACAGGGAGGCATGACTCTTCTCCCCGCCCCCAACACCCTCCCTTGCCCCCCGTACTGCCCCGCAGTGCCCGTCCTGCTGCCCTCGCTCTGTGCACCCTTTCCTGCTGAAAGGCCATGTGCACCGTCCCTGAGGTGTTAATGGAAACCCTGGAACTGGCACTCAATGCCCTGGTCTAGTTGACATRGTGGTGTTGGGTCATAGGTTCAACTCGATCTCAGAGGTCTTTTCCAACCATAATTTAATTTTCTAATCATGAGTCTAAGAAAAATATTCATAGGTATTTCCCTAAAGACATTCTGAAGGCGTCTGTTTAACCTGATTTATAATTCCTTCAATTTGAACAAACATGCAGCCTTTTCCATATAGAATTTAATTGCTTTTCCTTGTACATTTGTTTTCTAATGGATGGTGAAGGCAAGAGAGGAAAATGTCATGTTTGACTTCTGCTTGGATGTAGTTGGATATCCAGTTATTTAGAGTAAATSAACCCTGTACCTGATTTGGAATCCCATAATGTGTCTTACTGCCCTCTGCTGTAGCCTGTTAGGGTTTCTGGGATGTTTAGTCCCAGATGGAAGAAMAGAACCTAACTACTGTCCACAGAGAAACCGGCAGTGCCAGTGGCTCGTGTTGAGGGAAGGCGAGGCAGCATTTCTGTTCTCAGTGGGTTTCCTCCTCTAAGAATTCAGGGTAAAAGGAGGAATGTGCTTGGCACAGGGCAGAACCACAGGACTTCTCTCAGCCTCTGGCAGTTCTTTCTCATTCTTTCAAAAGGGAAACCAGAGTATCTTCAAATAAGAGGTGTGACAGTAACGCAAGAAAGGACACCCTTGCATCTGTACTGAATACTAAATATGAGGTTACTAATCTCAGGTGTCTGATACAAACAATAGTTAAAATCCTGTTGATTTTTTAAAATTCTATGGAGACTGTTTTTCTATTTTAAATTCTGAAATACTGGTACTCCTGGATTCTACAGCAGCTTAGCCAGATGTTCTATAAAATTATTATGTATGGGGCAGTGGCTCAGTTTGCTGTTTCTAGTGTGAAGTTGCTCAGTTTGCACACTTCTAGTGTGAAGTTGTCTCTTGTTTTTTTGTTTTGCCTGGTCTCAGCTCCATCAGATGACAGCTCAAACAGATAATTTGTCATCTTGCCCTTAGAAGGAGCCTTGGGTGAAGGGAGGTATCTTTGCTGCTAGGACACGCTGGATGCATTCACCAGGATCCAGCTCCCTCTTGTGGGAGCTGCAGTCACAACTTCCGAGGAGTGTGGGGAGATGGAGACGGCATCCTCAGGGAGGGATTTGGTTCTGTGCTCTGGTTTTCTGTGCAGTCACTGTTMCTTTAATTTTGGTCCTTGCTCTTGGTTTTATGCCCTCAAACAGAATAGCTTTCACTCTCTTCATTTACTGACAAGTCATGTTTGGCATTAAGCATGGTTCTAGGCCAGACAGGCTGGTCTCTTCAGCTGGGCTTGTCTCAAACTGTCCAGTTTMATGGCAAGAAATAACCCTCCTTTAGAAAAGAATGAAACGCAGGCAGCAAATTAACCACAGCCCAGATGACCGAAGGATTCATCACTGTTAACTGTTCACCACAAGGGGCCTTTAGCTGTTGAGAAACACTGCTTTGTGTTACMTTTTGTTA